CTCAGAGTATGGCCAGCCAATCCATCTCCATTTCTTCCTGTCTATTTGTTCCACAATTGGTTCCTGCTGAGTTGGTTCGCTCATTGCCAGAGATCCCTCTCTGTTGCTGATCTTTTCTGGCCGGCCGGCCATCTGATCTTGAGCGAAGACAACTGTTAATGAAGGTGTGTAGTTTGTTTGAGATGGTCTTTATGACGCGCAGTGCAAGTCTCTGATCCATCCGTATAGTAGCACTTACTGACTTCACATTGGAGTTGAAAATCCGGATCATATCTTCGTTTTGATGCTGAGTGCTGTTGACCTCCTGCACACAGACTTGAGAGTAGTGAAAGCTTGTCTTGCTTTTCCGATTCTTGCTTTGATATCCACGTCAGTTCCGTTGACCTGTAGTTGAAACGATGCTTCTCAGGTAGGTGGGTAGGTGAAGGAGGTTGTTTCTTTCAGATTCCTCCCATTTATGCTGATCGTTGTCTGTTGTTGTTGTTCTTGTCCAGGAATCTTCATCACCTCTGTTTTCTATATGTTCACCTGAAGTCCTTTTCGTCTTTGATGCTTCTTCTGCCAACTTATTGCTTTTCGCTTGCATATCTTCCAGTTTGTGGGAAATCAGACATGTATCATCGGCGTAGTCTAGGTCCTCCACTAGTATACACCAGGAAAAAGTGGACATCTGTTTCGTCCTATTTAGAGACTTCCCAGTACTTAGTACCCACGACTCTAATAGGAATCAAACGCGGAAGCTCCAGGCTACGTGACTGACCTCGTTGACCGTTCAGCCACTTGGGCTGCATTTCAATGACTCTTGAATTTTAAATTCCGTAAGTCGGCGATTTTCAGCTGCACTGTTAGCCAGTATCATCGGGGAGTATATGTCCTCACAGCTTAAATGACATATTTCTAGTTTAAAAATACATATATGAGTATATGCTGGGTGTTTGGCGAAAATCGTTAAAGAGCCTTAGACCTAGGTTTCACATTTGTTAACACTCATCAGCGAGACATATCTCCACCCTTCGTAAGACATGATATCCCTTCAACTGTATTCGAAGTTGCCGCACCCAGTGAAGTAGTTGAAGATATTACCACTGAGCATTTTCTGCCCACGATTACCTTTATGCAGGACTGTACGAGGGATCTACCGACTGATCACTAGGGAGCATCCAGTATCAAACGTCTGGTTCTTAGTTTGACTTTTAAATTATTCTTCAGATATTTTAAAGTCAGCCTTCTACAGTAATTATCGTACACCGGCTATTACGTGCTATTTTTGGTACTTTCCAGTAATGCGCACTAGCAATGGTTGAATTCAGGATCTCCAAGTTATAGGGAGATCTCGATAATTCAACCACTGGCTTAGAATCCAATGACCCATGAATTAGTGATATAGCACTACAGACAACCAACCCCATCGATAGGCATTGTCTTCACACCCTACATGGTTGACGGTGTGAATTAAAACTTCTGACTAAGACTACAGGACATCTATTTCGTAGTCATCAATAACTAGGAAATTTACTTTTAAGGATTTAGCTTACCTGTGGATTTTTTTTATGAAGCAGATATCATCTTAATACCATGAGTTTTAACTTGATTTTACTTCTTTTATTATCAGCTAAAAACGGAATCTAGCACATAAGTTTCAGTCTCAGTTTATGTACATCCTTCATCGATCAGTATCTGATAGAATAATGTTTTTATTATTTGTAAAGACGGATATGCATTTTATATTTCCCTTCGTTACACTGCCACCCACTGAGCAATTAATATAACCTTTATTTATTGTTATTTTATTTGTTTGCATTTTGAGTATAACATAGGGGGTCATGTTTGAGCTTTAGTTTCAGTAGCAGAGGTGTTTCTTCTTCATGGGGTGGGTTGCTAGCCTCACCTCTAAACTTACCTTTTTACTGGACGTAATACCGGCTAAGCGAGTTGGCATAGCGGTTAAGACGCTCGCCGACCATGCACATGGTCCGAGGCTCGATCCCCGGCCACAGACGCACTCTTTTACCTCGCTAAGCCAGAAATAATGCTGGTGAAGAGGAAAGGTTGGGCATGAGGCTAGTAACCCCATCCTGTAAAAATTATACACTGCTACAGAAACTTCAAGCCACTAGTTTGAGGCTTTATTTTCCACTGGGAACGTGAAGGAAATTTTTAAAAAGCGAGGTTTACGAATTCATCGGCTGGGGATCGAACTCAGGACCAGGTTAGGCTTGGCTTGTGAGTATTCTCCCACTGAATCACGGGCACACACACACATAAAGATAGCCTACTAAACAATATCACATAGAAAGAAAAATAAGTAACACTGAGGTTACCAATTTAGCAACAGACATGAGGCAAAAAGCAACTGAAACCAACAAGTATGTATGCTAAATTCTCAATCCGAACTAAATTCGGTCTGCTGATCTACTACATTGATATGAAATTCAAAACAGATGTACTTTGAATGATAGAACTAAGAATCACTGCAAGTTTAATTTGCTTTAAAAAATGTTCTGTTTACATGGAAAGACAAAGTGCAATTTAAAACTACCACTTGTATATTCAGTCAGGAACAGACTAAGCTTCGTGTGATCTGAGCTATGCTTTAATAATCATTGGTAAATTTGGGCAATGGACAGACTAAATCAGATAGTGTGTTAACAATCCCACCGTTTGTCTGACAAGGTATCACAGTCGAAGCAAAATGTTTTCAAGTATTCATGTTACTCGGCAACATTGATAGTACAAATAAGACAAATATCCAAGTGTTGACTTGTAGCGATATGACTGATCTCCAAGACAGATCTCACCACAAACGAGTATCATTTAGATGGTGACGGCATCTGATAGCTGTTTCATATTAGTTTAGAACGCCTCAGTAGCGCTTGTCTACGATTCCACTAAGAATCGTACCCTCGACTTTCAGGTTGACAAACAAATCCGTTAGTTGTTCAGACAGCGAAGTGAAATCCATAAAATGAAGTATGAATTCTAAGCTAAATTTTAGCTACCTACGCATCAACCTACGTTTTACTCACCTGACATCGATACCAGTAAGCTTTATTTATTTTTTTAAATGTAACTAAATGGCAAAATCAATGCAAATAAATAACATATTTTTTAAGTATTTAATTGGTGGATGGTGACTATCAGTGGAATCCAGGATGCACATTTCGTCCTATTTGGGACTCGTCATCTGGATGTGCCTGCATTTCTCAGTGAGTGATGATGTTCCCACCGAGGCTTGAACCCAGTTCCCATAGTTTCCAGCGCCAGTCAGCACTGGGTTCGAGCCTCGGTGGGAACATCATCACTCACTGAGAAATGCAGGCACATCCAGTAGACGAGTCCCAAATAGGACGAAATGCGCATCCTGGATTCCACTGATAGTCACCATCCACCAATTAAATACTAATTAAATGCCCAGACATCGTCGAAGCATCTGCTCAAGAAGCCAACATGTCAATCTGAGACCTAGCACTTCGGTCCAATCAATCGACGGGAAAATCTAAAATTCAATTAAACATATTTTTTTGTTTTATATTTTTACCTGTTACGATTTTCTCTGAGTAAGTATATAACTTATAGTAAAACTGACTTTCTGCGGTTGAGTGGGTAGAGCGGAGTAGGTCAGTTGGGCTTTGAATTTTATTCAGGTAGTTGACCTTATTTGATTTTGTGTTACACGCTTGGAGGAATGCTTCAATCATATCAGGTGTTTTATCGACTATCTTTTTGCACAGCTGGAATATTTGTTGAGATGCTTTGGCTTTTTTGTGCGTGTAAACACCTTGCGATTGTATTTATCTTCTGTTGTATATCGCGAATTGACAGAAGTTGGGAGAAACTGGAGAAGAAACTGTTTATGAGTCTGGCATTCAAAGGTGACACCATTTCGGAATTGATCAAAAATCGTTTATCTAAATGTATTAAACGTACTTTTCCTGCAGTTGGCTTGCAACTAGTTTTTACCAGCCAAAATATGATTAGACAATGCGTCAAGGATAGATTACCGCCTATGTCCACATCTATGTGCATTTACTCTTTTACCTGCTCTCGTGGGGCTGTTTATATTGGACGTTGTAAGCGTAATCTCCGAAAACGTGTAGCTGAACACTATCCGGTTTGGTTAATGAAAGGCGAACGTAGAACTGCGAAGTCGTCTATCTGTGGTCACCTGTTAGAGTCAGGTCATTTAGCCCCACGTGATTGATCTTTCAAAGTTATCTACATGGCAAAATCGAATCGCTCTAAAAGTTTACGTTTTCTTCACTTATGCATAGCCGAAGCTTTAGCTATACATGAACAGAAACCTAAATTATGTGTTCAAAAACGTTTTGTCAAACCCCTTTCTTTACCTTGGTTATAGTAATGTTCTTTCTAGTTTCTAGTTTATTTTATTTTACCACTTGAATTCTTTCCACTTCATTTCACATCTTCATTCTTATCGTAATCGTACTCTTAATTTTTTAAAATTTTTAGACAACACTTGACATTTTTAAAACATTTTTGATTTCAATTCACTTATAAAACAACCTTTAATAATTTCGTAATTTATCCACTTCAACTCTACCCCTTATAACATTTTAATTATCGTTATTTTTATCACTTATATTTATGTATATTGACTGAGCAATTATTTAGTGCCACTTAATAACCTTTTCTGCAATATAAATACGAATGTGCAGCTTGAAAATGAAGTTGTCGAAAAGAAATTTCTTCGCTGAACAAGACAACTGTGTTTTTACTTATGAATAAATGGGTATTTTCCGTGATTTAGAAGTTGGGATTCGTGGCCCATTAGGTTGGGTCCGAGTGGCTAAGTGATCTACGAGTTTAGCTTGTGACCGGCGGGTTCTGGGGTGGAATCCTGGTATGTATGTACTGCTAAAACGTCGCAAACTTGGATGAAACAACTGTCAGGTAACCTCTGGTTTTCCACTGGTTCTCTAACTGATACCAGCTTATGATCAAACCCATAACCATTCTCTCTTTGTTTATTTTCATTTCAGCCTCATGCGATTTTGTGAAAATTTCAAATGGTTCAACTTTTCAACTGAACAGTCAGAAAAATGTTTAAAAAAACAAAACAGAAAAAAGATGAAAGATACATACACAAGTTAATTGACCGCAATATGTACAAATTAGACCAAGAGGATAATCATCATATTTTGTCTGTTATGTTGTTTATTTGTCTCTTCCCGCATTTCCAGTCAATTTGAAATCCCATTTTATTTCAATGTGTTTTTTTTTGATTTTCAATGTCCAATTGTTCATATGTTTTGTTTTTTTTTCAAGCGAAAACCGAAATGTTAATGAATAGTTATCATTAATTGTATTGTTAGTGTTTTGCTTTTTGTAAATAAATGTGAATGGATTTCATTTTTCATTTTCTTATGCACTAAAGAAGCTTTTGAGAAGGTGTACGTATTCCCTGTTGAAGTTTGTTAGGAAGGCTTTTGTTTTACAAAATCAAAACTACACTGGTCCGCATTAGTCACATCAGAAAAACATACATAATGCTTGCTACGTAATGGAACTAAAGAGAACAGTAGTTTCTGATGTGGTTGTGTTCTCTGAGCTGGATAGTTTATTTGCGAAGCTTTCATCACCCTACTGGGTGACATCTTCAGCGCATACTTCAGTTCTCCGAAGTGAGCTTTTAGATTTCTCCATGAGTTTATTAATCATCTCTCCTGGCGACTTTGGACGTGACTGGTTGTTTCTGTGCGTTTTCACACCTTATAGGCTACTTCTTGTATTGGAACTGATTGTTTCTTTGACTTGAACTTTGACCCTTTCTGTGTGAGGTTTCTTTCTTGTCGGTTGATAAATTTTGGGTACCAATTAGTCGCAAGCGAAACTTGATAATATCTCTGGCGACTAGAATCCGAAAAATCTGCAGTCCTGAATCAATAGAGGAAGAGATCGCCCTCTTAAGGAAGACACTGCTTGAAAATGGCTACCCAACCCGCTTTATAGACAAGCATATTAAGCCTAAGACGTAAAAAGAACAACCCATTACAGTGCAGAAGAAGATGGTCTACATGAATGTACCCTTCAAAAGTGACCTTCTGGCTGACACCTTGAAGAAGAGGATATCTACTGCTCTCAGAAGGACATTCCTCGCTACCACACTACGACTGACATTTTCCTCCCGGCCATTGTTCTTCAACTACTCTAAAGATAAACTATCGCATTTGACCACTTCCATGTGTATCTACCAGTTCACCTGCTCTTGCGGAGCGAGGTATATAGGTCGTTCGATGCGAGTTTTATCCAAGAGAGTTCAAGAACACTATCCCGCCTGGCTATGGAAAGGTAACAACGGAGCAATAAGCAGCGCTATTATTGAGCATATACTCAACACTGGTCATTCCATTTGCAAGTCGTTCAAAGTTATCTATAAAGTCAAAAGAAGCCTTCCAAAATTGACAAGCTTCCGTATACCTTGTATTGCCGCAGCCTTAGCGATGTGGATAGAAAAGCCTGATTAATGCACACAGAAGAAACTTCTCCACCCTCTCCTACTACCGTGGGTTTAATTTCAAGTTTATCTGTTATCAACATTTTGTTATCAAATTTTTTCACAATTTTCGCATAATAATTTTTAGTAACTAACCCATTCAATCTTTTCACCTATTATCTAGTTTATTTTCATAATTGTCTCCATACTCCTTCACTAACATCTAATCTTTCTAAACATGTCTATATTACGTAACCCTACTCACATCTTACCAATCTTCACCCCACTTAGTTACAACTTTGATTATTAATCACACCTTTTTAATTTCTTTATTATTTTGATGATGTAATCAACAACCCACACTAACTGTTATTTTTATTGTGACAAACCTAATGTACACACACACACACAAAATTAATTGTATATATTTGCGACTGTACAGCTAAGTGGATGAATTCACCGAAAAGAGACTCTTCGCTGAACTAATTTGTTCTTATTTCAATCTCGATGTGTCTATTGATTGATGATTCACTGGAATACCAAGCTTCTAATAATTCTCTAGGATTCTTGGTGTTTCCTCTGTCTAATATTTGAACATTGGTTGTCCCAATCGAATTGATGCCCGTGGTTGTCTGTATGTAGTGATATGAGGGAGTGGATGTCATGTCTTTTGACGGCTAGCTTATGTTCGTGGATACGAAGACGAAGAGGACGACGCTCGAATGTAGTGTTTTTCGCAGTTGTTACAATTTATTTTGTAGATGATTTCGGTTTTGTCTTCTTTCGCTGTTGAGTCGCTGTTGACGAATATGTTCGCCTCAGTGTGAAAGATACTTAATCATGTCAAAAAAATTATAACTCAAATAACCAGAACAGATATCTCTTGTGCAAGTCTGTGAGCGACACACTTAGTTTATGAGGATCAGGGATGACGTACATGGGGTGAAGCTCACATCCGGGACTATTTAAGTCAATGGACCACACCTCCACCATGTTACAGATTCTCCAACTATCTATCCCTGACAACTCTGGGACTAAAACCTGTTAGGCCAGTCCCTCCCCTAGGTCTCATGGAATAAGTGTCAGTGAATTCAGCGACTGGTGCAACGTTTTGTCTCATCATATGTAATTTAAATTATTGGTCTTCTATAGCGATTTGGATTAATTTCATCGTAGATTTGGTCGCAAACCAACTTCAGCTACAGATAAGTGAAAACCTAGAGAGAGCGCAGAACGTCTGTTTAATCCTAGTTTAGGTCCTGAAGCTGTATTGAGAAGTCGTGAACAGTCTGGTCATTATTGTAAAGGTGAAGTGGAAGCTCGTCGAAACCACTGGTTGAGGGTAGCGCTATATCACAGAGTGACAGACTTAGAATTCACGGGCGATTCACTGAATTCTAGCCAAAGTGGTCAACAAGCTTCGCCTCGTAACCTGAAGTTCCAGGGTGCGATCCCTGAAGAGGTCATGGGTGAGCACTGAAAAGAAGTCCCGAAACAGGATGAAGCAGCTCTCCAGTGTTCCCAGGTTTTCAATGATCCCTAAGTGATGTTGATTCCTGACGAAATCTATATCGGGATCAATAAGTTAAGCTTGATCTATAAGTCGTTAGAAAGGGTAGTCGATTTCAACACTTATTTGCTTTGCTTGAAGTTATCTTTTGACCACATTATTTTATTTGAATTCATCGACTCAGTGAAGGATGTCAACGTGTCTGAAAGACAAATGATCTCACTAGATGTCGTCTCTCTATTCACAAGCATCCCCCTAACTGAAACAATATGCTTCATTAGTGATTACATCGAAACCAACAACCTAGAAGTCCCTCTCCCAATAAACTACCTGAAGGAACTTCTTCTCAGATGTACGTTCATATCCAGTTCAAATTCAATGAAAAGTTCTATGTACAGAAAGATGGAGTAGCTATGGGGTCTCCTCTCAGTCCACTCCTAGCCGACTGCTTCATGGCGAGTCTGGAAAACAACATCCTCAATTCCTTGATAAGTCAACTGCACTTATACAAGAGATACGTAGATGACACGTTTATAATCTGTGATGAAAATTATGATTTAGATTCTCTCCTCAAAACCTTCAACGCAGCGCATCCATCAATAAGTTTCACCTTAGAAAGAGAATCGAACAACGCATTTCCATTCCTTGATGTACTACTCACCAGACGACGCGACTGTACTATCCAAAGATCGATATACCGCAAGCCAACATGGACTGGACAGTTTATCAACTTTCAGAGCTTCGTCCCACTAATCCGAAAGAGAAACCTGGTACGTACGTTGTGCTCAAGGATTAGAAAAGTCTGCTCGGAAGACATGGTGGAGAATGAATTAAATTTATTACGTAAAATCCTACTAGAGAATGGATATCCACCAAGATTTATTGACAAAAACATGAAGGAGAAGCCTCCGATGTCAAACATCGCAACGGTTCCTAAGAAGATTCTCTTCATGAACCTAGAATTCAAAGGTTATGTCGCAGCGGAAATTCTCAAAAACCGCCTTTCTAAATGTCTGAAGAAGACATTTCCAACAGCCACTCTACGTATCTCATTCTCCTGCAGACAGTTAATCCAGTCTAACGCTAAGGACAAGATACCGCTTTTGGCCACCTCAATGTGTATTTATCAATTTACTTGCTCGTGTGGAGCAAAGTATATTGGCCGTACGCAACGTCAAGTCCACAAACGTATTCTGGAACATTGCCTAACTTGGTTATCCAGAGGAGAAAAGAAGAATAGCAACAGCTCGATCCACGAACACCTTGTCATCTCTGGACATCGAGCACCCCCATATGAATACTTCACAGTGTTACACAGAGTCCCTCAAAATCGTACAAAGGGACTTCAGATACGCCATCTGTACATGGCTGAAGCATTAGCTATTCGAGATCTGAAACCGGACCTCTGCATCCAAAAGCGATACATACATTCTCTTGCCCTACCATGGCCAGAGTAAAGTTCTTACCACAACTTTGCTTCTTTCCTTTATTATGTAAGTTCACTATTATTATTACTATATTTTATTAATATTGTTATTATCATTATTGTTCCCATCATCCACATTTTATTACCACTCTATTACTGTTTATTAATAACATTGCTTTCCATACATAATTTATACAAAAACACTTTATAGCCTTTCCACTAGTTCCTGTCCATTTTACACGAGATTATTGATTATTCACTATCTCACACTTATTACGTCATGCCAACTTCTGTCTCCTTTCTAACTTACAGTTAGTCATCCCTTCTTACACCCTTCTTACAGTATGTAATACAATTTTCCAAGGACAAAATTTACCAGTATCTGATTGGTCTAAAGATTTCTTTGTTAATTATAATTACATACATCTTGAGGAAAGTCCTAATAGAAAATGGATTTCCACCACGTTTTATAGATAAGAATATTCATTCAAATCCTAAAAAACGTGAGTTATCAACCGTACCCAAGAAGATACTTTACATGAGCTTGGAATTCAAAGGGGACGTAGCTTCCAATATCATGAAACGGAGGATATCACAATCCCTGAAAAGAACATTCCCTGCTGCATCCCTGAGAATAGCCTTTTCTAGTCAACCATTATTGTTCAATAACCTGAAGGACAAAATCCCACTGTTGACCAACTCTATGTGTTTATCAATTCACCTGCTCGTGTGGAGCTAGGTATATCGGTCGTTCGACACGAGTTTTGTTCAAGAGGGTGCAAGAACACTATCCTGCATGGTTACGAAAAGGTGGAAGTGGAGCAATAAGAAGCGCGATCATTGAACATCTGATCGATAATGATCACCCTATCTCTATAGCCTCCGCCTTCAAAGTCATCTACAAGGCAAAGAGTAATTTACCCAAATC